CTGAAAAGGAAGTAAGTAGTATATATACGGCCAGCCAACTTCAAACTTTAGCTGACTACGAACCTCATTAAATTTTACTTAATGACATTTATTTAAATTTATGGACGTTTTAAAAAATTTTTTACTAATCTATGGGCTATGTAAAACAACAATGACATTAATTTTAGTTCAGCTAGTGGCATGTACGCAATCAAAATTTAAAATATTTATTGAATTGCAATCAAATTTTGTTATTTATGTGCCCCAAGAAGTCCTAACGGTCTTGTCACAGAGCACCGCGGAAATGGATTTAACCAGGAAGTTCACGCGCCCTTCCTTACTGTGACGCGAAGTATATTAAAGGCTCATTTCAAACCCAGATCCCCGGCTTATAAAGCAAGCTCTCTAACCACTAATATATAAATATACCTGGTTTATTTGCACCATGAATCAGTATTATTAACCAGGTTGCCAAAATCGGAAACTTAGTTCCATTTAAGTTAAGGGATAAAAAGCGCCTACTTTGCACCTTATTAAAATGTTAAGGCTTCCAACAAAGATTTTTTTAAAAGATGTTAGCAAATGATTTAAAAGTTTTGAAAATTATAAGCTACTTTCAATATTAAAAAAAAAAATTATGGAATACGATATAAAGTTGAATTATGTTATTAGTAACATAATGTTACCAAATAGAAATAGTTAATGTACTAACTTTATCAAATTAAACAATGCATTGGCAAAAATAATGTCGCAATTAAATACGCAAATAATATAAACTTATTTCAAACAATTGTAGGCTAGACTGGGGTAATTCTATCCCCGGGGAAATTCCACCCACTAAAAAGATATGGAGCAATACAGATAAACTAAAAAAACTTGAACCACTTTTAGCTCATGTTTTTGATTGCCAACTTTCTGTTTCTCACTAAGTATATGCTTCCTGTACCCATACTGATTTAGAAATTTGTTTATGAAACTTGTTTTGAAAATCCAAAATCATCTTCAATCTAAGTACCATATATGTACTTTAAAATACATTTTAAAATATATTTTTATTGATCATCATACTTTTAATAATTATCATTTATTTTTTGGATGTGTTTAATGTGTACAGAGATGATAAAATTTTTAATTTCACAATTTGAACCTTTGCTTGTAAATATCCTTAGGCAACATGTTAGTTTAGTAGTATTAATATCTGTATATGGTATTAGATATATAATTATTCATAATTTCAACCAAATAAGACAATTTTAGTCATGGGTCAAATCTCACACCTTTTCATGAAAAACTAGGGAAGCGGCAAATGGAGACGAGAGGAAAAGCCATAAAAAAATAGTGTGGTGAAAGCCTCACTTCAGATAAATGCATTGATAGGCTCACTAAAGAAAATTAGGCTAAAACCAAGCCGAAAATTGTCTTCATTTCAGGTAAAGGGAAGGAAAAAGACATGAAAAAAAAACAACAATGAGTGATGCTGCAAACAAACTAATTTTATGCACAATGTGTGGGGTAAATGTGGATGACCCTAAAGTTTGCAATCTGAATGTTATGTATGACCTCCCCGCTAACACAAAACGTATGACCTCCCCGCTAACACAAAACGTTCAAGTACGTTCGAATTTTTTATGAAAACGTGTAGAAATTACCCCTATTTTGTTTTATAAAAAAATATTAAAATGTTTTTTTGTTAAAATTTTATATCAACAGTTTGCTTAAATATGTAAATAAAAGGAATTCTTTTACTATTCTCTTGTTTTTTATTTTATATAGTGATTTTTAAGGATTTTTTAGAAGTAGTGGATGGATCCAGTATACCCTACCAAGCAACTTTGTTTGATATTATTTTATCCCTTTTGTATTACACTATATGTAACATCTAAAAAAACAAAAATAAAATGTTTAATTTAATTTGATTCACTTACAAGTTAAAAACCTGTTTTTAATTGAATATGGTTTGGGACTTTTATTATTACTTGATGTTAGAGCAAAGTAAAGTAAATGCAAATTTTATGCTTTAATATTTAATTTAATATTACATTACTTCCATGTGATTGTGCCTATCAAGACATCAGGGTTGCATACTTCAAAAGAAGCTTTTGAAAAATTGCATTAATTGACCCTTAAGCCTGAGATGAGGGTCAGTTTTATCTGTCCTTTATATGGTTGGCTGATCTGCTTTGAACAAAACATCTTTTGTATCAAAAAAAAAAAAAAAAAAAATATTAAAAACATAAATTAAAACATATTAAAATATAATTAAAACATACTTTTAATAAAATATAAAGCTATATAAAATTTTATCTTTGTACAGACTTACATATAAATCAAAACTTACATATATAAAAAAAATATATATATATATTTATATAAACATATAAAGGGGTGATTGATTGATCTTCCCTATATTTAAATATATGCATTCAAATTATAGCTTATTTAATAATGTATGTTGTTCTCCTTTCAAATTAAAATTTGTAAAAATAAAACTTTTAAATTACATCATTGGTTACTAGTTTGAGCTTAAAAGCTATAAAAAAAAATTGTAAACTAAATGTTTTACATATCTATCTGAACTCATAACTTCAAAACAAAGTAGAAGATCAACAGATAGTAAGTTTGTTTGGTTTAAAATTTGAACCTTGCTTGACATAAAGTATTGGATCATATCTGCAATTTGTATTTGGAACAGCAATCTATATTAAACAAAAAGTTGACCATTTTCAGGTGCTTGCTTGACTGAACTTTAAATGATCTTAAATTACTTTATCACAATTGCTATTGGCGTTGAACTAAATTTCCATTTGAACTAAATTTCCATTTCCCAATTCATATACTTGTTTATAGTAAATGAACAACAACAGAACATAAATCTATACATACACTATTTTGCAAACTTTTTATTTTAAGCTTCGTTAAAAGTAGATTTGTTAACTTGCTATAAAACTGTATACTTTTGTAAAAATTGATCAAACCATGTTACGTAAAAAGATACACAAAAATATTATCGAAAACATGATGCATATTTTTCTTTAATTTGAAAATCTTTAGTTTTCTTTTCTTGCACACAAAAACTTTAATACTTTTTGAAATAAAATGTTCTTCAAAAATACACCAGAATTCAATATGGTATTTTCATTTGTATATACCCTGTGTATAACAGGTTGATTTTTAAATTGGCTAAAATATAAACCATCACCATAGCTTTAGAGATAGCAATTACAATTGTATAAACCTGGATAATATAATGATATTATGATTTTATTATTTATGATATTGTAGGTATTTTTATTGTTATTATTTTCATTATTATTACTGTTATTATAAAATAAATGTTGCTCCTATTGCTTTTATTTGTTGTTGTTGTTTGCATAAAGTTTCTTATCATAGTAGAAGCACTAAGATTAAAAAATAAAGATAAAACTCAAGAATGTGCTTGTTATAACTTTAGAAATAATTCCTTAGCCATCCTCACAAAATGACTAATAAACAAACCAACTACAGTAAACATGTTATGATTTAGTTTTCTTTATTATCAAAATATCTTAACAATCGCGGTTCACTTTGATATTATGATCACAAATAATATTCTTATATCATGATTTAAATATAAATTGTATAAAAACATTTGTATTATAGTATAACATCATGTTTCACAAATTTTGTATTGAGTTACTATTTGATAAAAACATTTTACTACGCATGACCAATAATTAAATATTCACATAAAACAAATAATTTAACAATGCTTTTTGCATCTTATATTTTGTATTGAGTTACTATTTGATAAAAACATTTTACTACGCATGACCAATAATTAAATATTCACATAAAACAAATAATTTAACAATGCTTTTTGCATCTTAAATACTTAATTATTCGCCAAAAAATAAACATTACGTCTTCTAACTTTACGCTATGGAATCATGTTTCTACCGTTTATGAACGTAACAAAAAATTTTTGTTGGATTTCAAAATCACCAACTTTGAAATCCATTTGAAATCAACTGTTGAAAAAAACAACAGACTATTCATATCAGTTTAAAGTTTTAACAGTTGCTGGTGGTTCATTATTATTTATTATATAAACGTTTATTTAAATTTATCTAATAGACAAAGGTAATACAATATTTTTATAGATGATATTATTTTTTAAATTGTATTATTAAAATTCAGAACTAAAATATGAAAAAAAAATTATATTCAAACATTGGACAAGGTCTGTACTGTACCTGGAAAATCTGGAAAATATGTTAATATTAGCCAAAGTGGTGGAAAACCTGGAAAAGTCAGTATAGATCATGGAAAAGTCAGTAATTCTAGTTAAGAAGTTACTCGTTTCACAAATGAACGCTGTATTTTGAAAACGTGAAGAGTCACACTTTTTAAAATTGAGGTTATTTGAAAAGAATATTTTTTTTAGTAAAAGATAAAATTATAAGATAAAAAAAAGATTTTTTAGATAAAATAAAGATTTTTTTTTGATAAAAAAAATAATTTTTAGTTAAAATAAAAACAAAATTTTTTTTAGAAAAAATGTTTTTTACTCTCATGTAAAATTTTAATTTTGTGACTTGTCACATTTTCAAAATACAGCGCTCAATTAAGCTATTATGTTTTATTATGCTACTAATTTATTTTTTCTGAAACAAATTTTTCTTAGTGTTTATTCTTAATCATCCTTAATAATAAGAACCATACTAACATGTATAATAAGATTTATACTAATATCTAACTTAAGTAATAGCTAAGTTTTATAAGTTTTGTCATTCAAAGCATGTATATTCTTAGCATTTCCATTACAGTAGATAGTAATTTTAAACATTTTTTAAAAACTATTGTTAAAAATCGTCAGGGAAATTCATCTGATTTTTCAAAAAAGTCATTTAATTTTATATAAGTAGTTGGCTACGAACCCTGTTGGAAAAACATTGTATAAATATGAGTTTTTTTGTTTTACCTTGCAATGTGTTTGAGATACACATTGCAAGGTAAAACAAAAAAACTCATATTAAAACAATGTTTCTCCAACAGGGTTCGTAGCCAACTACTTATATAAAACTAAATGACTTTAATAAGAATTGTTGTGTGTCAGTCCCAGAAATTGAATACACACCTGCAAATTTCATAATTAATAAAAATATTATGAATCCATTAGCAAGTATATATTTTGATCATTAAAAGTTTGGCCCTCTGTCTTTAATTTTATCTGTTTTATTAGTGATTGTTGTATTTACTTTCATAAATTCTAAATATAATATATAATTAGTTATATAGTTTCTTAATAATATAATTAACTTTATTGTTTCAAGATAAAGTTGTATCCTTGAAAGATATGCTGATATTTGGCACAAGGGGCAAGCATTGAAGTGCAACTTGTTGAACTACAAAATACATCAAATTCAGTTATAAAAATTTGAGTATCAAAGGTATGCTAATTATTGTATTGCCCGAAAGAGTGTCATTGCCAATTAAAAGCAGTGAAGAATTCAAGTACTCTGGAAGAAAAAAGACAAGAAAACACTTCAGTAAATGGTAAATATTTTTTTATGATCTGTTTATGCATTTAGTATGATATGTAGTACAATTTATATACTTTAAATAAAATACTCTTTGAAGATTTTTTGTAAATGACATTTTATATTAATTTAAGTCTAAACAAAAGATACTTTAATTTTTGCCAGGCTGTGTATTTTTGCAAGTTAATTATTTGGCACAAATTGGAGTTAAAGACGAAGGAGATTGTATATGTTATTTACTAAGAATAGTTTATTAAAATGGCCTAGCTGTAAAATTAAATTATGCAGGGAGAGGATAAAAAATTGGAATAGGAAAAATGTTGATTGCATATGCTGCTATTGGTAAGTGGTTTAGAAAAGTTTATTTTTTCAGTTTCAATTTTGTATTACAGAATTACTTTCAATTTGTTATGTTTCTTTGGTGCATAATTAAACAAACAACTTTTTTTTTTTGCAGAAACTGTGAAGTCAATTAAACATGGCTTATGCAGACATGAGATAGAGATAGCGGAAGAAAAAATAATAATCGTGGGCACCAAATATCATAAGTTAAACACGATTCAATAACAAGTAGCTCAGTCAATATCGAAACTACACTATAAATTTTATAGTGAATTTTTTTATTTAAAACTCAATGTGTCAGTTTTTGGTATAAGTTTGGTGTTTGCAATATGTATATTTAACCGAGAAATTATGTTTAATAAATAAATTTTTATACTTGTATAATACATTCTTTTTTTTTCTCTATAATTTTTTAATGTAGCGATGCAAATCATCTTATTTGTAACAACGATCTTATGTTGCATAAAACGTTAGGCCAATATAAAAATAATAATCGTATAACATACAATATTGGGCAAATTTTGTATACAACTTTGGGCCAATGTTGTATAAAACGTTGGGCCAATGTTGTTTACAATATTGGCCTAATGTTATATACAACGTTGTGCTAATGTTGGGTAAACGTTGTATACAACATTGGGCCAATGTTGTACACAACATTGGGCCAATACCTAACCAATGATCATACCTGCATTGGGCCAACATCGACTTTCAACGTTAGGCCAATGCATCATCATGCATTGGCCCAACATTGGTCCAATGTAAGCTTGCTGTCTGGGCATTGACCTAATTAAAATTTCAAATTGGTTTAAGTCGAATAAACTATCAATTAAATTGGAAAAAACTAAATGAACTTTATTTCATCCAAAATCCCAAAAAAAACTTTTACCAAATGATATACCTCAAATATATATTGACAATGCTCAAACAAAAAAATCAAAAGTTATACATTTCCTTGGTGTTTTCATTGATGAAAATCTAACATGGAAAAACCATATCGAAAATTTGTGCGAGTAATGTATAATAATAATGTATTTTTATAATAATTTGTGCGAGTAATGTATAATAATAATGTATAAATGTATAAAGCGAGAAATTTTGTAAATAGACATTCATTAATTCAACTTTATCACTCGCTAGTTCAATTCCATATAAACTATGCAAATATCGCATAGTTTATATGGCATTAAGAAGATCTCTTTCAACATATTGCGGAGCTCTTCTGTGAAACAAAATAGTTTTGAAAAATTTTGATTTTTCTCAAAGTTGGAGCTGCCTAAATAAAATTAGTTATAAAACTAATTTTAAGAAAATATCTTAAACCATAGCCAAAGTATTGCTGGGGTTCGCAATAAGATTGGGCTAACATTAAGGCAGTCTACTCTATATCATTTACGTGTAGTAAATACAAATAATATATATTTATAAAGTGTTCGAGTGGGTCACGTGACTTTTTAAGAACTTGATTCATATTTTAGATTTCCATTCTTATATAAAGATATTTCAATAAAAAACATTGTTTCTAATTTTATAATACTGTAACATTTTGTTTGTATATAATATGTATATATATTTATATATGTATACATATTATATAAAAACAATGTATATTTGTATATATATATATATATATATATATATATATATATATATATATATATATATATATATATATATATATATATATATATATATATATATATACACATATATATATATATACATATCAATGAAACAGATACCTGGAGGTATACCTAAAAAAATTAAAGAATTTAGAAAAATTAAAGCCACTGAATTTCTATTTCTGAAAATCCTCCCACCCTCTGATAGATCTTGTGTTCATGGTTTTATGTAATTAAATAGTCTAATCCATTTGATCCATAAGACTAAAATACAAACCAGAAAGAGTCGTATACTTCAAGAGTTTTATAAAATTTACCTTAAATAAATGCAATATTCATATCTGCAAATCTGCATAAATCTACACAGCACAAAAGTAAATCTTTTATAAGAGGCGACGTAGTAGCAGAATAATATAAATGTAAGGTGCAAGCATGCATAAGAGCGATTTGGTTTGAAGTGCTCCAAAGCTGGGCACTCATCTGCTCATCCCAACCCAACTCTGCCTCATCTGCCTACCCAACCCCCTCAAACTGTCATTAGGGCCCCAAAATCTTAAAAACCTAAAGTCAATTACAAGCGTTATGTTTATGAGCGCATGTTCAAAAAGTTCATAAGAAGTTTTAGAGATTTTAAAATGGCTGCGGATCTTAACTACATGTTCAAAAAATTCAAAAGGATCTTAGCTACATGTTCAAAAAGTTCATAAGAAATTTCAGAGATTTTAAAATGGCTGCGGATCTTAGATTTTTTATATAGCAACTTTTTTTTTAAATTTGGTTTTGTAAAAATTAATGCTGCAACTTATTTATTAAATTCGTGATAAATGGAGTATTTGGACCAAATGTTGTTTGTTGTATTCAAACCTAGCACCCAATTTTTTATAAATGGAGTAACATCAATAACACTGTATTAAACCAGCAATATATATTTCTAAAGTCAAATAGATTGTATTAGTAAAAAGCAAATCTCTTTTAATAATAGGTAAGCGGAAATTACGATTTACGGAACCGATTGTGCTAAAATTTTGTGGCTCGGTTTTTTAACTTTTTTTTTAGGTAGCATTAGGCAGACGTATTTTTGTTAAGTTTTTTATATACAGTTAAATACTTTTTTGAAAGAAGAAAGATTAATCTTGATTTTTATATAATTTTTATGTATGGTTACTGAATTTTTTTATGGATTATTTTGGTTCTGAAAAATAGGTTGATGTTCTCACATAAATATGTAGTCGAAGGAATATCGATCCCGGTCTATTTATTATTCAAACAAATTTCTGCATGCAATTTCTATGCACATTTCAAATTTCTACGAAAAAAATAGGGAGCAGATAGGTTTCAAAGGGTTCTACCACGCATACTGCATTTTTTTGGTAGTCTTAGTAAAACGTACTTTAGTAGTATTTCTTTTTAGAAAAATATGCAAATAAAAATTTGTTTTTGAAAGTAAAAAGGTTAAGTGTGATTTCTATATAACTTTTACGTATGGTTACTAAACTTCTTTATGGGTTATTTTGCTTTAAAATTTTGCATGAAAATTTAGACGATGTTCTCACTTGAATTTGTAGTAGAAGGAATGTTGATCCCGCTCTATTTATTATTTAAACAATTTTCTACATGCATTTTCTATGTAAATGCCAAATTTAAACAAAAAAAAGGGAGCAGGCAGTTTACTAAGTGTAACACTTTTGGTACATAATTTCTGTTTTTCTGATTTTTTTTTCGGTTATAGCAAAGTTCGGGGACAGCTAGGGGGGCCATTCGCAAAACAATACACCAGTTCGAGCCGCGTTTCGGAGAATTAAAAGAAAAGACTGGATCGAGGGTATAAGGGAGTCGTAAAATTTAATTCTTGAGTAAACAAAGTATAAACAAACGACTAAAACAAATCCCATCACTATCAAAACAAGTATATAACATATATAAATCAAAATGGATTATGATACAGTGTGTAGTATGAAGGTTGAAGAACTGAAGTCTTATTTATATATTATAATATATGACACAATAATATCTACTTTTAATTAAAATATAAAAACAACAAAAATTAAAAAAGAAAATATTTTGATAAATAATAAATTATCATTCAAACAATTTTCAAGACCAAAAAAAAACTTGTAACCTATTTTTTTACTTATCTTCATCTAATAAACATTACTTATTTTTTACTCATCTTCATCTAATAAACATTAATATTAATACCAATTTTAAACATTATTAGAATTTTTTTTTTATCAAAATATAAAAATATTACATCAGTTACTTATTGGGCTTTTCTTATTTTACTTAAAACATCAACTCAATTCTAGGCTTTTTTCATTATTGAGTTTTAATTTGTAATGTTGAATTAACACAGAAAAAAAATAATATTAGCAGACAAAAAGAAAATATTTCTTTATTGAAATATATGTAAATATTTCAATAAAGAAATTTTAGATCGATTTTTATAAATATAAGTTTATATCAATCAATCTAAATTTTTTTCTTTTCTGCCACCTTTTCGAAATGAAGCGCATTTTTAGAAGTTAGACAAAATGCCATCAATTAAAGTTTCAGTCGCTCCATCGTATTTAATAGAAGAAGCTGTTAATAAAAAAGAATTAGAAAAAAAAAAAAAAAAAAACACAAGGAGAAATTTTTGAATATATAAAAAATGAGAGTAAAAAAGTTATACATATCTTATAAAGGTATACCTTTCACTACACCATATAAATTTGTGCTCTTAAAGCATATTTCCACCTTTTCCTTTCATATTCATGGAGGTCACAAAATTGTTGGAGAATATTCTAAATTTTAATAGATAAAAGAACTGATATCAGGGGCGGACTTAAACCCCGTCAAGTGCTGCAAGTGACGGGGTAAAAAAACAAAAATAAATATAAGTATTATGACGTCTAACGCCCGCCTAAAGTTAATTGCCGATCTATATATTTTTATTAGAAAATATAATTAGAAAAAGTTTACAGTGAAAACTATGCTTTGCAGACGTTTGAAAAAGTGTTTTATAAAAATTGCTAATGTAAACTATACTTTGCAGGGTATTAGAAAATCATTTATAAAACTTGCTAATGTAAGCTATACTTTGCAGGATATGAGAAAATTATTTTATAAAACTTGCTAATGTAAACTCTACTTTGCAGGATATGAGAAAATTGAATAAGTTCATTGGTTTACACTATTAAAAGTAGCAATTTGATTCGTTAAAAAAAAAAACATGTTTAGTGTAAATTATCCTTTGCAGCATTTGCAGCAGTAATTTGATTGGTTGCAAAGATCGATAAACAACTCAAAAGAACTCAAGGAACTCAAAGAATTCCGTTCTAAAAACAAAGTATTTCCTTAAAATTTTAACGTATAAGCATGGCTTACAACTTGATTGATGATGTACTTAAAAGATTTAAAACCGATAATCTTGTCGATTTAAATACTTTTTATGAAACTTTATTGGATACATTTATTTACAACAATAAAAAAATGGTTAGTAACGAAGGTCTTTTAAGTCGTTTTATTGATGGCACAATAAGAAGAAATATATGTGCCGAATTTGTATCCCTTCTTTCTTAAAAGACAATAAAATGCATTGTATTGCTCAAAGGTAAGTCAACTTACTTTTTTTTCATAAATAATTATCTTATTGTATTTTATTACAAAATTTAATACTTTTTTGTAAAAATATTTATTGTTAATACTTTTTTGTAAAAATATTTATTGTTAAAATCTCGTTGACTAATCAATATTTAATGTGTCAACACCGTCAAGTGATTTTGACATGTATGTATATAATATGTTCATGATGTATGTATTAAACTCCTACATGTCAAAATCGTTTATTGGTTTGTCTGAATTCTTGACTATTGATTTGATTTATGAATTTGTTTAAAAAGCAAAGATTTTTTACTCAATTTTAATTTTATTGATAAAAGAAGTTTATCTCTTAAAAACATGAAGTAAATATATATATTTTTTCTTAAGGTCTGAAGCATCTGGAAGTTGTATGTACAGCTCTGCATCATTATTTTTTGTTGCTGACAATACACTGATAAATGTGTTAAGAGTTTTAACATCCCTTGAATTTATATACATGCTGATTATTACTGTAAGCATTCTTTAATTTCAAAAATATTTTCTGATTATATTCTCATTTTATTAATCTCAAAAGTTTGTTGTGTATGTCAGTATTTCATTCTGCATTAGATTCTGGCTTCGAAAATGATAATATTATTAAAGCTGAAGCAATTGCAAACTGTGAGAGCACAGAGAAATGGGCTGGTTTTTTATGTTTTTTAGGTTTATCATCGGTTCTTTCTTGTAATATTGTTTCCTGTTACCCAGATTTTGTTGTTGAAAAGTATAAAATATTTTTTAACCAAGAGATCTCACCACTTACTCCCATTAAATTAAATCGTCTAATGTCCAATTGATTTCAGAGGTTTTTAATAAAGTTCGCGAACTTTCTTATTTTTTTAATTATTCAGAAAATAGACAAAAGTTTTTAGAAGGTAGCATTTTAGAGCGAGAACCTCAAACGCATAAAAAAAAATTAAAAGATATCTGTAGGACTAGATGGATTGAGCGTATAGATGGTTTAAACACTTTTCTTGAGCATTATTTATCTATTTTCCATGCTTTATGTATCATGGCTTCCTTTGAGAGTTCTGTTAACAAAGACACACAAAACAAATCTTCTACTTTTTAAATTTCATTGGCACTTTTCAATTCGTCTTTACTTTAGTTGTGACAACACGTGTCTTTGATTTTACTCTACCTGTTATCGGTTACTGCAATCAAAAACTATTGATATCTTAGACGGTTTGTACCTTATTACAGCTCTTAAAAGTACATTTATTTCCATCAGAAACGATATAGATAGTTTTCATAATAACTGCTATGAAGCAGCATGTTTGCTTTCAAGTAAAGGTGAAATTTTTATTTTAAAACCAAGAACCTGTTCTATTCAAAAAAATCGTTCTAATGTTCTATCAGAGTCTGTTTCAGAATGTTTCAAAAGAGCTGTTATTATCCTTCTTATAGATCATGTATCTACATCTATATCTACAAGATTTAAATCAGAAACTGTAGCTGCATATAAAGGGTTATCAATTAATCTATTTAATATTATTTCTTTTCTTAAAAGACCCAAAACCTAATTGTGTTGGAGGAAGCAGTTTGAAACATTCTGTGATTTTTATATAGATAATTTCCCTAATATCAGTGCCTTGAATGGGGAACTAGTTCTTTGGGAAAAATACTGGGAAAGTTTCTCTGGGACTATTCCTGACAATATATCTTTAACTCTTAAATCGATATCATTTCCTGGATTTGAAAATATTAAGATAGCTTTAAGGATGCTTGGGACACTTCCTGTTACTTCATGTGAGTGTGAGAGGAGTTTTTCTGTTATGCGTCGGTTAAAAGTCTTTATGAGAACAACAATGTCAGAAGATCGACTTAACGATTTGCCATTAATGTATATCCATCAAGAAATTGTTCCTTGTATTGATAATGTTATCAATAGATTTTCTATAAAAAATAGACGACTTGATTTCAATGATTAGTGTCTATACTGTTTATTCTATAACACACCAACAACTTTTGAAATTTTTGTCTATTATCACCTCTCTTCATATAACAGCTAACAAATAGGCATGGAAACCCCTGGAAAGGCCAAGACTTCAATAGTGCCCTTAACAGGAAGGGTTAAATGTAACCCCATACTTTTGTTTGGGATTAGCTATATGATTAGTGATCATAGTTCAGGCAAACATTAACCATCTCTTTTTTGACAGTCTCTTTATATCATTTTCTAGCAACAAAATAAAAAATTAAAAAAATTATTTTCAATAAATTTTCTCTCAATCAACCTAATAATATTCATAAGTTTTTGTGCCATTTAAATCAGTTTTTTGCTGTAGTTGTCAAAACCATTAGCTTTCTTTTTATTTCATCAAAAATGATCTTCTTTTATGTTGTTAAAGCTTAACTTGGTATGTCTTTTTTTTTTTAATCTTGTTATATAAGAATATATATAACTTTTTATTTCACGATGTATATAAATCCATTTGTATTTTTGTCTTTCTCTTTTCAGTTCTTAATTTTTCTTTCTCTGATTGTCCATGTCCGGAATAAATATGTTCCTAGACAAGCTGATGAGCCCTGATATTGGGCGAAACAATCATTTGTTGGTTTATATATTTATTATATATTTATATAGAAAAAAAGTTTCAAAGTAAAACTAAGATATGAGCTTCTCAATGAAATAGCAAAAAGAAAATCCCTTTAAATCCTCCAGCCCAAGGGCAGGAGGATTTAGGGGATACATAGGGGGCAGGCTATGGGAACGATGGCCTTCCTTAGATGTTTTTTTTATAAGAATATTTTGTAAAAACGTAAGTAAATTTGGTAGGCTGTTTAAAAGTGGCATAAAATTGTGTAGTCTAAATTCTTTTTTTTTTGGACTTGCCTGCTTAAAAATCGTTAAACCTGTAAATCCCCCCCTTTAATCGTTTGGATCGAATGAAAAGTAAATTTGCCCACCCCCCTTTACTACATAGTCTTACTTGTTCCCCCTCCCCCCCCTGATTTTTTCTATTTGCTTTGTGGGCGTAGTTGCGTCACTTACAACATGGCGTAAGGCGCATTTTTTTGACGGGGTAAATTAAAAACCTGCGTCCGCCCCTGGATATTAATTGTGCAAGAACTAGTATTAATTTTTTTTTTTAATTTAAATTGAACTCATTATCAAACAATTTTTTTGCTAAATAATTTAATCCTTAAAATTCCTGAATAATTAAAAATTATTTTGATTACAGCATTTTAAACATATTCCATCAATTGCAATTGGTTTATCTAAAAAAACAACAACAAGTAAAGCTAATATTATTGTTTGAAATTTTAATTATCTTTATACAAATACTCATCATATTTTTAAAGTGACTGATAAAAATGGATTTAATTAAAATCACTTCATTTGTATCAAAAAATTAATATTAAAGCCTTAATCATACATTATACAAGAGTATTTTGTCATACAATCTAAATAGTTGTTGCGATATGTTATTTTTTTATCCAAAATTTAGCTTCTGTAAGCTTTAGAAATTTTTTAAAGAAATTATTGATGAATTTGGATCTACAGGTACTAATGTTTTTATATTGTTGTAATGTTTGTATTCATTCCCTGTTAGTTTCTGTAAGTCAAAATTTTAAGGTGTTTCCATAATATATTCTGTTATATCTGAAATTTAGTGTTAGTCTGAATAATTTAATTTCTAAAATCTGTTTTGCATTGCCTGTCTTATAACATCTTTACTTGGAACAAAAACCAGGTGGTTTAAAAGTGAGCTAGAAGCTTTCAACAATGAAGAAAATATTGCATTCAGTAATCCTAAAAATATATTCAACCTGTCAGCAAAATCACCTGATTTTTTTAAATTTCAAAAAACAGAAGTAAACGTTTTTTTAATATCACTTTATCTCTTTTGATTAATGGTGATACTGCACTAACTGATGAAACACAGTGACCGATGTAAGGCCAGTATAAAAGTCGCAAGATCTATTATTTTAAAAATAAATGTTTGTATACAAGTAAATTGCAATAACACGATTTGTTTGGATTATGTTTATATACAAGTTTGTCTGTTTTTATAGTAATAACTGATGTGGTTGAAGTTAATTTTTCAAATAAATCTTTATTTTCAAATAAATCTTTATTTTTTTATTTCGTGCTGAAGTTCTTTTTTAAAGTTATCAATTTCCTTTTTTAATTCTTGATGCTCTATTAAAAAACAACGCTTAACATTAAATTTAACATAATTAAACGACAATGTTCTTTCAGGAAAATCGTCTGAACATGTTTTCGATCTCTTGAAAATTCTATATGATATAAGTTCAGTATTTACATTTTTTTTCCATTATAAATCTCTATAACTTTAATCGTTGAAATAATGTTTACGATTTTACTTCCATTTCTGCGCGCTCATAAATTTTATATCGTATTTTTTGTCAACAATGATTGAAATAATGACGTTAAAATAACGTTAAATAATCAACGTTTAAACTCTAACGTTGATTTAACGTTGAAATAACGTTAAATAATCAACGTTTAAACGGTAACGTTGATTTAACGTTGTGACATAGTTGAACAACGTTGAATCAACGCTTTAACCGAATTTCAACGTTATAACAATGTAATAATGCCGGCTGGGATATATATATAATATATATATATATATATATATATATATATATATATATATATATATATATATATATATATATATATATATATATATATATATATATATATATATATATATATATATATATATATCGATATATATATATCAATATATATATATCGATATATATATATATATATATATATATATATATATATATATATATATATATATATATATAAATACATATATATATATATATATATATATATATATATATATATATATATATATATATATATATATATATTTATATATATATATATATATGTATGTATATATATATATATATATATATATATATATATATATATATATATATATATATATATATATATATATATATATATATATATATATATATATATATATATATATATATATATATATATATATATATATATAGATATATATATATATATAGATATATATATCCTTAAAGTGTAGTCGAAAGAAAATTTTATGGTAAAAAAAGTCTCTTTCGACTACACTTTATATTACCTCATCTCTTATGCTGTATTTCATTGTCATCGAAATGTCAAAGCAATTAAATTAATGTGGAAGTACATTAAATTTTATTGTTTTTAAAAAAAACCGCAATAATAATCAGTAGAAAGTTTTTTTTATTTAGTGGTGTTTTTATTTTTGTTTTTTTGAAAAACATTTTTAAAACATGCGTAATAGGGTGGAGTGAAAAAACTTTTTTTTAGAAATTTATTTGAGCTGGGTATGGAAAAGTTGCCTTTGGGTACAAAATGAACTGTGGTAAAAGCATTTTGCTCTAGATTAATATTTAGATATGCCCCAAGGCACTTGAAAATTTGAGTTTTTTGTTAATTTCGCAATTATTGGTTTAAAAAATAATAATTTCCTTTCATTGCATATTCATGTTGGCTGGATATGCAAAAGTTGCCATTTAGTTCAAGGTAAACTGTGGTAAAAGCATTTTGCCCTAGGTTAATTTTTAGGTCTGCCCCAAAGCTCTCGAAAATATGGATTTTTTGTCCATTTTGTGGTTTTTGGCAAAAATTTTAATAATTTCCTATAATTGCAAATTTATGTTGGCTGGGTATGCAAAAGTAGCCTTTTAGTACAAGGTAAACTGTGGTTAAAGCATTTGGCCCTATGTTAATAATTCGGTCTGCCCCAAGCCACTTGAAAATTGAGTACTTTAATTTAAATCCATACAAAACCAGTTTCGTACATATTTCAGATTGTTTATAGGCATATTAAACAACTATACAAATGTATAATATATCCAAGAACTTCACAGTTGTTTAAATCTTTATACTTAATACTGAGACTTAGTGTTGAAAGTTTTTGTCTTTGATCTCGATTTCAGTGTGGCACGAATCATTCCATCTCTGCGATCAAAACCGCAAACAGTGGCTGATGCTTCAGTAACAAGCTTGACGTGTCTTTCAGTTGACTGAGTGTGACATGGAAACTCTGGAATGTTTAAAACTGGTTCAGTCAATGAAACACCATTTACAAATGACTTTTTTTCATGAGTTGAGATGTTCTTTGTAGCAGGATGCTCGCTTTTCTGGACAACACTCCATTCGATTAGATTAGTGTAGTCATCTGCTTCGAAATTAAGCTTCGGCACACGAAAGCGTCTTAGTGACTGACTGTTTTTTCCCTTGCACCAAGGATTCTTCTGAATGCCAGTTTACTTATGTGTTCGCGCTCATCAGTCAACATTGCAAGTAGGATGTTTTCGTAATGACTGAAATAAGCATTTCTCTGAATTACCTCATCCACAATACATCTTAAGTCATTTTTAAGGTACCTTGAAAAGTTTATCATTCTCCATAGATGGAGTACCCCTTGAGTACAACATGATTTCGTCTTGATATAAAACCAAGTAGGAGCGTAAACTTTAACAACAAATGTTGCAAGAGTCACTAGATTTTTAGTTGGATCTTTCATCGAAACATATAACCGCAGAACTCTGCTAGCTGTTGTCAGCCAGCGCGAGTGAACTACAGGACCTGGAGTCTTATTTGCCAGATTTATTGGGCATTTATCATTATTCACTGCGTGGCACATTTTATATAAATACATTTGATCTGTGCTTATATCTTTAAAATTTACATCTGGAAAACTATTCATCTCAATAGTTGAAAAATGCTTTACAGGAAAGGTTTCACAGATTAGAAGTAATTTACCAATTGGACCTGAGAAAGCTTTTGGTCCACTTGTGGTGCCATCTAACTTGCACAAAAGATGTCTAAAAGGGAGCTCATTGGCATGAAGCATGCAAATGAACCAATGCAAAGGCCTATTGAGTTTCATCTCAAGTAAACGGATGACACCTCCCAACGCACCAGTGTTGACATTCGTGCTATCACAACCGACAGCTACTAAATTGTCTAGTGAAATTCCATTCGAGTCACAGAAATCGACTAAGCCATATGCTTTCTTAACTGATGTTCCATTTTCAGGGCTTATGTGACCGAAATATATTGAATGGGGCTCTTGAGTTAGTGTAACGTGTTCTTCTGTGACTATTTTGTAATAATATTTGGAACCTTTCTTGAGTTGCATTTTTGTTTTGTCCTTCCTACCATCGAAGTACAAACCTGTTAGATTAGAGGCGAGGTGGGATTGAAGTTCATTTCTAACCTTATGTCTTTTTCTTCGAATTTTACTTCTATCAATAACCATTGTACTGTCACAGTCATTCACGATACCAATGTCTTGCAACACGGCGCTAGCAATGGCTGCAGCAGCACGATCTGAAATGCTACGGCGATCACATTCCTTTGAGATATTTGGAATGTTTGCTCTCATCTGTTTTTTCTCTGCTGTTCCAGTAGTTGGAACCTTATGTATTGAGGGAAAATGGACATCAGTATCGTTGTCAGTTTCAGCATCAGAAGACGAACTGAATTCAACAATATTTGAAGACAATAGGGAGTTAGATGTAGTGGCTGTTGTTAGAGTTTTGTAAATATTGGAAAATTTTCTTTTGCGATTATCGCGTTCTTTTTATCGATTTGTAACAACTTTATCTATACTTCCAATCATCATATTTCTTGTACTTCTTTGATCTTCCAAAAATGGTCTTTCTGCAACTGGTACCTTAAGACTTTCCTCACAGTTGCAGTGATTTATGTCCAAGCATTTGCAGACTGCGATGTCAAACAACTGGGAATTAGCTTCTGTACAAAACTTTTGCATCTTTGCTTGATAGTTAGGATCATTCTGTCGCCTCATTAAGGGCTTGAGCATATTTCGATGTTGTCATGAAGTTCTTTTATCTTCGCTACAATCCGCTTGTGTGATATAATTGGAATTGATGCTTTGTGCCACAATGCTTTGACTTTTGATGAAACACAACTTGAAACTTCAGCAACTGAAGGAATCTCTGCAGATCTATATGTCATTTCGTCTTTAAGGAACAAGTAATATTTCATCACATCAGCATATGTGGGAAAAACGGTCTCTGGTAAATATGAAGGATTTCCAAAAATTGGGCAATTGGTACGCAGCCGTGTCTTGTGCTTCTTACACCCACAAACACCAGCCATTCTTGTTATTTGTGTTCGGACGTCACTCACAGATGCGAGGTTGTTTGAATTTTCTAATCTAAAATAATTTTCTAATCTAAAATAACAATATAAAAATAAAATAATTAATTTCTAACATAATAATTCAAACAAAATAATGTAAATACTCAAATTTGTAATTATAGGAAATTATTAACTTTTTCTCCGAAAACCACAAAATGCACGAAAAACGCCAATTTTCGAGTGCTTTGGGGCAGACCTAAGAATTAACCTAGGGCAAAATGCTTTTACCACAGTTTACCTTGTACTAAATGGCAACTTTTGCATACCCAGCCAACTTGAATTTGCAATAATAGGAAATTGTTATTTTTTAAGCCAAAAATGCCGAAATTAACGAAATATTCAAATTTTCAAGTGCTTTGGGGCAGACCTAAATATTAATCTAGAGCAAAATGCTTTAACCACAGTTCATTTTGTATTCAAAGGCAACTTTTCCATACCCAGCTCAAATGAATTTCCATAAAAAGGTTTTTTCACTCCATCCTAATGCGTAAGTGTTGCTACATCGACAATCTTATAGCCTGCTGCTACAAGGGAGTGTTGCTACATCGACTATCTTATAGCCTGACTCGCGACGGAGTGCTGCTACATCTACTGACAAATTGCCTGACTCGCAACGAAGTGTTGCTACATTAACTGACAAATAGCCTGACTCGCAACGGAGTGTTGCTACATTAACTGACAAATAGCCTGACTCACAAAGGAGTGCTGCTACATCGACTGAGAGTTTGGTTTGGGCAGGCAGTCTATCATTTAAAAAAAAAAAAATTATTTTCGAAGTTTTTTAACATTTTCTGGTCAGTCTTATTAACGTGCTCTTTAAAACAACAGTTTATAGGAAAAACTTTGTGACTACCATGCAAGAATATATATATATATATATATATATATATATATATATATATATATATATATATATATATATATATATATATATATATATATATATATATATATATATATATATTAACTTTGAATTTTACTTTTAATTTTGTTTACCTACTCTTAACATAACGTGATGTAGCAGATCTAGTTTAACTTATTGATTTGTTATTACCTATAACATTGCATTAAACTGTTGCATTGAATAAAATGCTATATAAAAAAAAAGACATAAAAAAAACTTTTTTATTGCAAAATTATTATTTTGTAAAAAATTTATGGTGTATGTGTGTAGGTCAATAATATATATATATATATATATATATATGTATATATATATATATATATATATATATATATATATAAGTAATGCTGAAAATAGTAAAAATTATATAAATGCAACTTTGAAAATGCAATAAACTTTAGCGAGGATTGATGTTGGACATTAGCCTTGGAGAATAAAACTGATATAGAAAATTTATATCAGATATATTAAAATCTTTCAACACATTTCACAACTCCTACTTCTAAAATTAAAAGCTGATAGAATAAATGACTTAATCTACAATTGTATTTTGATGTTACCTAAGAGATCGGCATTAGAGTATCATTGTTGGTGGTGCATACTCAGAATGGATAATAGTAAGTAGTGGGGTTCCCCATTATTAACTTTTATGATATATAATAAAGATTTTTCTGATATAGTTTTTGATGTTGTATCTGTATTTACAGATGATACTAAGTTATACAGTTTGCATTTTGATAGCTCACCATGCAATAACCTGCAATAAAGTATGGACTTTATAGCAAACTGGGAAAAACTATGAAAACTAAGTTTTAATGTAAAAAAATGTAAAGTTATACCCTTAGGACCAACAAATACAAAATTTTCCCTTAGGACCAACAATGCCCTTAGGACCAACAAATATAAAATTCATTTAACTCGTTTATATTCATTTATATACTCGTTTATAAAAATCTCAATACTTCAATTAATATTAAAAACTCTCGATTCAATAAAGGGATCTTTATTGACAGTAATTTGAATTTTATTTTGTAATTACTAAGATTAACACCGCTAATAAAGTTGTAGGAATGATCAAAAGATCCTTTGTCAATCTCAATATCTTGACATTTCGTACCTTGTTTATTTTCCTTGTTCGTCCTCACCTTGATTCTTGCAGCTCTGTCAACTATCTTAGACTTTAAAAAGATCAACAATTAACTTAAAATGTTCTATGCTAGTCTAGTAAATTTGTTTTTGGCCAGACTGGACTTACTTACAACCAAAGACTACTGAGACTAAATTCAACTAACATGAGGTATCGTTTCTTATGTAATTACATGGCAGAAACTTTCAAATGCATTCACAATCTTTATAATTGTAGTTGCAACCCTTTTGTTTCCTCATAAAATACCATTCAGTATTTTATCTATTAACATCTGTGTCAGAATGATGTCATCTGCACAGCCATTATATTTATTATTGTAATTACAGACCATTAGGTAGTTAATCTGAGTTGTAATAGGATGCGTGTTAATATGGCCACTTCTTAATATTAATATATGATTATATATTTAGTTAGGATTTTTCCTCCATTATGACTAACTCTCACTTAACAACATGCGATCATGCTTATAAATTGAAAAAAATGTTTTGTAAGACAGATGTCCGGAAAAAACTTTTCTAATATGGAATTCACAAAAATTTGTAGAATAGTCTACCATCTGAAATAGTGTTCAACATCTGTCGCGACATTAAAAAAACATCTAGATTCATCTTGGGTTCATCAAATGTACACAATTGCAAAATGGTAAACATTTACATAAAAACTCAAGTTGTTTATCTTCCTTGATGTCATATTTAAATAAGAAAATATTATCAAAGAAACCTTTCCGAACCGCGCAAACTTTAAAATTCACTTTTTTTTTAGTAACCAATAATTAAACTCTACTTGCAATAAAAAGCGATTACATTAAACATTAAGAAATGAATCTCAATAATTTTTATACTAATATTTTCAGTTAAAAAAATAATAATAATTTCAAAAAAGAAAGTTAATCTGAAGATTTTTTATATCATAAATTTATTTGTGATTATTTTTTAGCTGATGCACCGTTAAACTGAAGGTGGTAATAAAGTTTACAAAATTTGGTCTGGCTGAATTTTTCAATGAAAAAACAATATGTGTGCTTTGAATGTAATCTGTTTTTCATGGCGTATTAATGAAAGTTTGATGTATTGGCCAAATCACTTGCAAGCATCTTGCCTTTAAACTGCCATACGTAAAGTCACGCTTTTAAAAGTAACTGAAAGCAGGTGAAAATAAGAATTTTTTTGTAAATGTCTTATTTACAATATTGATTTTGTTTTATTTACAGTATTGTCTTTGTTTTTTATCTAAACAGCTATGTTTGACTCAAATATAGTAAATGTTGATTGTTTAGTATGGTTTCATCTCTTCTTTATACTTTTTTTTGACAGTTATGAGACTGCTTTAGAACGGAATTGTCTGCGTTTCTAGCTTAAAAGGATGCAGGTTACAAAAAAAGTGACACTGAGAGACAGATTGTCTCTCATTTTCTCAAAGATTGAAGAGATCTTTTGTGTTTTAGAGTTAAATGAATTCATCAGAGCTTTGCTTGACTATCTCTTTCAATTTATTGAATTTATTTGCCGGTTATAAATGAAAAAAGATCTTTTAAACCTAGAAGAAGAAATATGGAACAAAGACACCTTATGAATCAATGGTATATATCAGTGAATTGATATTAGTTAATAGTTTATGGAAACAGTACCATGTACTATTAAAGTTTCTTATTTTTAAAATATATGATACATTTATATGAAACATACAAACAAATGATACAATATGATACGTGATTGGCTATAATTATGTTGTATATCAGAATGTTTTATATAAATGCTTATTACATTTTATTGTGATTTTTATCTTTTATGCCCAGTTAGCAATGTATTTTGTGTAGCAATGACTTCTAATCTCAGATATCTTTGACATCTGTAGGGTGTATTCACCGCTACAGATGTCATAATCTATTTATAACCAATTGCTTTTACTCTTTCATAATGTCATATTTTAATAAATCACATTATGGAAAACCGTCTAATACATACACATGAGGAACCATTATACTTTTAGTACAACCAATTATATTACATTTGTTTTCTTATTTTAGATGAACTTTATTACTTCGGTTGGAGGAGACGAGAAACAACTTACAGCGGCAATCTTAATACAGCTAATGGCCAAAGAAGTATGTTTTTCATACTCAGTGTATGGAATGAAACAAAAACATCCTGCATGGTCGTTATAGGTAAAACACAATATTTGTATTCTACATCCCATTTCCTTTTAATAAATAAATATTTTAATAAAAGCTAATTACTTTACAATTTTTATACGTGAAAAGTTATACATTTCAAAATTATATTGTAATGATATTTAAAAAACATTTTGTAGAGTTACGTTTAGTCGTTTATCGTTGTATTTGTTTATTTCGAAATTGCTACTGACAAGGGTATTAAAGAAAAAATTGGCAGTTTTTTGGTGACGGCCATTATTAGAGATTATGGAAGAAAAATAGAACCGTATATATATATATATATATATATATATATATATATATATATATATATATATATATATATATATATATATATATATATATATATATATACATATTTTTTGTACGTGTAAATAACATTTTTTGTACATTTGAATAACATTGATTTTATTTTGTTATATTTTGGTTTTAGAAAACTCTATACCTCTTTTTTTCATTTGTATCTGTTTCGTATAACTTCAAATAAATTTAATGATTTTGAATTTTTTTTTACTTAAAGCGTGTTCTATGATTATTTTCATCTCCTAGACTATAAACTGTTTAACTCAAAAGAATAATGCAGCCTAATACTATAGTATCACTTAAACAAGAAAAATGTTGTTAATTTTAATTATTACAAATTTGTAGAAAGCAATATTTTTTATTATTTTTTAATAATAAAAACTTATTCGAAAATACTCAATATATTGCCTTATTTTAGTTATATATATTATTTACATCAGGATAATATTGTAAACTATATTAGGCCGATATTGGCCAGTATAACATCCCCATTAATGGTGCAATATTATTTACAATATTGGCGCAATATTATAAACTATATCGGACCAATAATGCAGCGTGAACATTTTGCCAATATTGGCCAATATTGACTTTACAGTATTAGTGCAATATTGTATCGCCAATATTGGCCAAAATTGACTTTACAATATTGGTGCATTATTGTAGCGCAAATATTGGCAAAATGTTCACATTGCAACATTGGTCCGATATAGTTGACAATATTGCGCCAATATTGTAAACAATATCGCCCCAATATTGCGCCAATATTGTTTGCTACTAGGGTAGTTATTGGAAGCTCGCAGAAGACTTTAGACAAAAAGACTCGATGACAAGACTTTTCAGTCTTGTCATCGAGTACTTTTTTCTGAACGTGTAATATACATAAAAATCAGTTGCATACGTGGTATATATGTAAGTTGTACATATTTACCTTGTTATTAATATTATTATTATTTATTATCTATTTGTGTTAAAAGTTAAGCTAGATTTAAATTTTTTTTTTTTTAATATTTAAAAAAAAATCTTTATAGTTATTTAATTTCATTATTGTAGATTTTAGCTTTATTTCAGAGAGTGTTCGTTGTTTAGGTTTAATAGTGGTTCGTTTCTGGAAACTAATTTGATAAATAAATAGGAACTACGATATGTAATTGAGAATTTTGAGAGTCTTGTTGTTTCAAACGGTATCTTAAAGTTGCCTGATACCTATTTTTTTAATTTTTTGATTAGAGTAAAATAGTATGAACTTAGTTTTTTTTATATTGAGTGATAGTTTATTTGATTTAAACCATATATTAATTTTATTTAGTTCAGCATTTGTTTTTTCAAAAAGGTCTTCAATTGTCTTTGCTGAGTAAATTAAGTTTATGTCGTCGGCAAACATTATAGTTTTAAAGATATTAGAAGTATTTGGAAGATCGTTTATATATATAAATAAGAAACAAAAAAGGAGCAAGAATGTAATCTTGGGGTACACCACATTTTGCTCTCAGTAAACTTGAGTTGCTTTTTTTATCTATAATAACACACTGTTGTCTGTTATTTAGGTAGTTTTAAAACCAATTTAAAGCTTCATTTTTTACGCCATAGTTTTTCATTTTTTTTAATAAAGTCTCCAGGTTGACTGTGTCAAATGCCTTTGACAAATCATTAAAAATCCCTAACGTGATTTTTTTTAATGATCTACTTATTCTATTCGTTAAGTCAAAGTTTGCATGCTCAGTTGAGTGTAGCTTTTGAAAGCCATATTGACTTTTATTGATAATTTTGTTCGTTTTTGAATATTCATTTAATTTATCATAGATTATTCGTTCTATATGTTTTGAGAATACCAAAAGGATTGAGATTGGTCTGTAATTGTTTAAAGAAATGGTTTCTCCTGATTTATATATTGGTATAATTTTAGATATTTTTAGATTGTCAGGTACAGTACCTGCTGTAACTGATGAATTAAATACTTGGATAATTGGATTACGTATCTCCTCAAAAAAATCTAACACTACTTTGCAAGAGATGTCATCAATCCCCTGGGGACTTGATTTTAAATGATTTTATAGCTACTTCAAGTTCGTCTTGATTTATTTCATTGAAATTTAAAGGGCAGCATGAGTTTGTAGATGAAAAGGTTCGCATCGCTTCTATTTTTTAAGTATTTTACGTATAGTTTTTGCTTTTGTTTTGAGGATTCTCTTATTTCTTTTGTTATGCATGGACAATTTTAATGTTTTGTTTTTATTTCTTTTTCTTGAATTAAAAAACTTCTATTATACTGTAGGATAAATAAATTTATAAAGTTAATGTACGCAGAGTTTGTGTTACCTAGATTACATTCTTGGTAGACCTTTTGCCAATTTGTTGCCATTAGCAAGTCCTTAAATTTTAGAGTAGACGCTTAATCGAGAGTTCTTTTATAACATAAGATTTTTGAATCATTAATTTTTTTGAAATTTTGTGACAAAAAAAGTATATTGGAAAGTGATCTGAAATATCTGTTTTTATTATTCCTAATTTTAGAGAAGTATCTTGTATTGAGTTTGTTAATATATTATCAATAGCAGTAATAGATTTGAAAGTTACCCTGGTGAGTTTGTTGATAATGGGGAAGATATTAGGTAAAAAATTTACACCTAAAATATTAAAAAAAAAAAAAAAAAAGACACAAAGTTATTTTATCTTAGTTAAGATCTGATACAAAAGCAGGTCTATGGGAACTCTGGCACTGCCTACCAGCAATTAATATCTAAAAATTCGGTTGAGTTTTTGATAGAGTACATTTAATATCTGCATCAATATTGATTCTATTTTTTTTTTTTTTTTAATTTCAAGAATTACAATAGCTAAAAACTCGGCTTCACACAAATGTGATGTTGAAAAAGAAATAAGGGCTTTAAGTGCAACGTGAGCGCAACGGATATGAATTCCTCATTTTCAACCAGAACTTATCTAATAGTGTTATTTTGATGTGGTTCTTAGCCGTGGTATCGATAAATTCTTCTTGCGCTTCCTCATTCATTTTTTTCACATCACAAGAAAATGTGATAATAATTTCAATGCTAAAAAGGTTCTCAACTAGAAAATGGTTACCCAACTTATTAGTCAAATTATCTAGGTGACAAACTATTTCTGTCTTTATGAATTCGGGAGGCATGTTATTTTCAATTATACTATTTAAATTTTGAAACATGATCAAATTTATATTATTATTTCTGGTCTTAAACAGTTTGAGTTTTTCAATAAATGCTTTCAGTATTTCCGAGTGTAAAATGACATTAGCATTTTTACCACAATATGACCCATAATGTTATGTGAACATTGTTGGTCATATTGTGGCAAAAATGATAAGCTGTTGTCATTTCAAAAATGTCAAATTTAAAATAATCTACCAGTCTACTTTTCATTTAACATAAAATTTAGTTCACTTAACTACTAAGCTTGGGAAATCTTTCCAAAAAATGTTCAGCAGATAGCCATCACGCTGAAGTATAAACAACAGCTTATTGTGTTTAGCATCTTGGTCAGAGCAAAATTTTGTAAAAAGTTGAGTGTTAAAAGTTTTAATGATCAATTTGACTAATTGATCAAATACAGCTTTCAAAAAACCTGGTAACGTTTTGGTTGCCAAAACCTGTCGATGAATAAAACAATGTACACCAACTACATTTAGAACAATTTCTTTCACTCTCGTCTGCAATCCAGACTTACAATCCATCATGACATGAGCTCCATAAGTAGTAATTCCAAACAAATATTTCCATTGTAATTGTTTGTCATTGAAAAACTGTTTAAAAATTTCTATAATATCATGTTATATAATATCATAATATATTGTTGTTTCAAGGATAAAAGAGAACAAAAATTACTTACTTAAAATTGTTATTGCAAACATACCTAGAAAAGAAAACTAATTGTCTCCATTGAACTTACATCTACGGACTTACATTCAACTGAATAGAAAAAATATGACGATTCTTTAGTTTTAAGATTACTTAGTTTTGTAGACCGTTGAAAAAGTTCACATGGATCCTCAGGGGTTTATGGACCACGGGTTGCGAACCACTGACTTAATAAATAAAATTGACTTCGAAAAACTCCGCAAAAATGCAAAAAGAAATTACTTCTCCAACTTGTTTGCAAAACAACAAACATTATATTTATATATTTTTCTCTAAACATGGTTTTGTAAGTCTTGTAGTTTGATTAACTTTGTTTTGTTGTATTAGCCCACACTATATTAGCATATGTGAGATGACTGTCAATTAGACTAAAGGAAAGTTTTTTCTTGAACAGAAATCAAGAAACGGGCAACATTTATATAAAATATCTATTGCAGATGATATTTTTGATTCAATGTGTCTAATATGATTTCTCCATGATAAATTTTCATCAATTTGAACACAAGAAACTTTGCATATTTTTCCCGTTTTATTATGTTGTTAACAAGCAGTTCTGTAATTTTTAACGGTAGAGACATTGACTGATCTGTTTTATGAAATAAGATGTAGTTAGTAAGATTTACTATCCCTGAGGTCTTTCTAAATCCCGGGATTGATTCCAGGATTAAAAAACATATACAGCATTTATATAGTATTAAGTAGAATAAAAACTGTACTCTCTTTAAACAAAAGTATATTTTACAAATGATGCTGTTTGCATTACACCGTTATATGCACACAAGAAAAACATGATATTGTTAAGAAATTTTAATAAAAATAAGGAAATATATCATGTTTTATGTGCTTTGAAGTGTGACTTCAGGAAGCACAAAACGCAACCCTAACAACAAAGTTAAAGATAAAAGCTGTTACAAATTTTATTATTAAACAGTCCAGCGAAAGAAAACCCCCGCTCAGCCTCAACATTTGTTGGTTTCACTGTCATTAGAAATGATCAAACTCTTTCTAATTAATCACCACGTGTACCACCATTTTCAAATAATGTCATTTCTTTTTAAATTTTTGATAACAG